ACAAGAATGGTGTCTTGGCCACTTGCTAATATTCTTTGAAATCTCTTGAGCTGGGCCCCATGGTTCACATCACAATCAACACCACTGTCTTCAACGCTCTTATTAGGATGACCCATTAACCCTTGGTTAGAGTGCTTAATTGACTTTCTAGTTCAAAATGCCAAGTCTTCCACATTCCTCTAAACAACAGCATGATCAGGCCTGTCGCAAAGATACAAGCTTCTGTCTCAGTTAGTGTTCTAATTCTGTGAAGAGACACCATGACCAAAGAAAACATTTAACTGGAGGCCTACTTATAGCTTCAGAAGGTTAGTCTATGAGCACAGCCAACAGGTAGGCAGGTGCTAGAGAAGTAGCTAAGAGCTACATCCTGATCCTCAGTAATCAGGCAGGGGGGAGGGAGAGAGAGAGCGGGGGAGAGGGGGAGGGAGGGGGAGAGGGAGGGGGAGACTCTGACTGGGCCTGGCATGAGGTTTTGAAACTTCAAAGCTCACTCCCCGTGACCCACTTCCTTCAACAAGGCCACACCTCCTAATCCTCCCCAAACAGTTCCACCAACTGGGAACCAAGCATTCAAACATATGAGACTATGGGGGCCATTCTCATTCAAATCACCACAGACACCAAGAACATTAATTTAATGTCACTAAAGAAAAAGGAAGTTAGATTATATTATATACCCCAAATTCTTCTTTCCTTCTCTGCCCTCACCCGGCAGTGTGATTTCCTAAGCTACTGACCCTGGGTTTTCAGTGTAACTTGTGATATGGAATGTGAGGTTAAAAGATGTAAGATGATGTAAGAGTTGACATTTTTGATGATTTATATGATTTGGTTTGACCTCCTTGGGCTGCATTATCTATGCTTTTAACTAGAGTTCCATATTTGGATTCAATTTAACACTTACATGGGTTGAAATTTTTTATATACAAATAAGTTATGCAAAATACAGTTATTGCAGAATTTATTGTAGAGGTAAAATTTAGAAAGAAGAGAAGAAAGGTGAATAAAAGTTATGAAGTTATAGCATATTCTTACTATGGAATTTTTGTGATGTCTTTACATGAAAAGATATGAATAGTGTAAACCAGAAAAAGCAATTTCCAGAACTATAGATGATTCCATTCTTGTAGCAATGAAAATTATAATTATTCATAGTTAAAGATACATATTTGCATCTTTATTATATACACAGAGGGAAAAAGCTGAATGCAAAGAGAATCTCTGGCCACTGCAGTAAAGAAAAGGAAACCTTTGCTGGCAGATTCTGAAATGCTGTGCATGGATGCGTGCATAAGATATTAATGAATGAAAGACACAAAATGACAATAATAGCCCTTTTCCTTTTCTTTGTGCCAGCTTCCATCCCGCTGATAACTGTTTCCTGTGTTCATTTGCGAAGCTCTTGCAATGCATACAGCCACCTCATATATGCATCTATTTATCTTCCCTCTTCACTGTCAGAACCGATTCCTCTGCCTCTTGAGAATGCTGAGCTACCTATTGTCCTCACAGAGGCATTATAGTCCACCATCTGAACTTCGATGTTAGGCAAGTTGTCCAGCATTTTACTTTTGCAAAGGCAATAAAGCAAAACCATTCTTGAGAATACATTTTTGCTAATCATGCCCAGCTTAATCTATCAGGTAAGCTTCTGTCAAAGGGATTGTTGGTAGGAGATACGCATTTTATACTCTGACACACATTGCCAAATTCTTCAGAAAGGTCACAGCAATATCTATTTCCACCAGAAATTTGTGAGAGCACTTCCTTTGGGCTTGTAACATTGGGCATCATCTTTTTTTTTTTTTTTTTTGGTTTGGTTTTTTTTTTCGAGACAGAGTTTCTCTGTGTAGCTTTGCATCTTTCCTGGAACTCACTCGGTAGCCCAGGCTGGCCTGGAACTCATAGAGATCCTCCTGCTTCTGCCTCCCAAGTGCTGGGATTAAAGGTGTGCGCCACCACTGCCCAGCTGGGCATCATCTTATAGCTGTTTGTCAATCTGAGAAGCAAGAAAAAAAAAAATCCCTTTGTTCACAGTTTTATTCAATTAATAGTGAGTGAGGTCATGTTCATTTTTCTCAGAGGCCTTGAACCGTTCTCCTGGATTGGCGGTCCCTTTCACAGTGACTTGTAAAGGTTCTTTTGATAACTGAAGAAGTTTGACACTCTATCATTCATTTTGTAGATACAATGTTCCAGTTTGTCATTAGTCTCTTGGCTTGGGGGCATTTTTCCCATGCAGCTTTTTGAAATACTGTATGAACAAATACATTGATAGTATTTTTGTAACTTCTGATTTTGTTCTTAATTTAAAACAATTTCTTCATCACAGAAGATAAATTCTTGTGATTTAAAGTCTTTTATGCTGAAATCATTAATCTGCCCAAGCACTAATTTTAGTGGGGAGAGAAATATTTACTTTTAACGTTGGAAGCATTTTTACTGTGAGTTTTCTAAAATGAGTGTGCATTTGCTTCTATAATTTAAAAATTTCAGTAAATCAAAGAAGACAAATAAGTCATTATGACCCAAAGGATGGAGCCTGGAGACAGAAAGAGCAGGCTACTTTAACAGACGTGTTTATCCAGTACATTGACCAGCTGTAATTTTCCAGGTGCTGGGTCCTGATGACATAATACAAGCCCGAATTCAACAACTGACAACGGCAATTAGGAGGAGAAGCCCTGATGGAAGTGTTTTAGAACTATCACCATGACAACGAGGGCCCGAGCCGTCACTATGGCGGCACAGTGCTTGAATGATGACTGGAGAGAGAGTGTGACACTGTTGGTGAGGATGTCGAAAAAGATGCACAGGCAGGGTGCAGATGTTTCAAAATTATGCTTTTGCTTGTCAAACCGAAGTCACTGCTCCCCCTTTCCTTAGTGTTCTCTTTTGGGAAACCTAAAGACAGTCTGTGCAGATTAAAAGCAAGTATGACTTTACGAAGTCATTGCTACTCATGGCTGTCCCAGTTAGGGAACAACAAATCATGCAATAAAGCACATATTACATATGCAGTGTTCTTGTGCCCTGAAGCTCTGCCTATGCTGTTTATTGGAGAGCCTGGGGCTTTTTGTTTGCTTGTTTATTTAAACAGGATTTCTCTGTGTAGCCCTGGCTGTCCTAGAACTTGTTCTGTAGTTCAGGCTGGCCTCCAACTCAGAGATCTGCCTGCTTCTGTCTCCCAAATGCTGGGATTAAAGATGTGTGTCACATTTTCTTTCTACAGCCACCATAAAGATTTCTGTCCAACATTTAAATAAAAAATTTACGTGTGCTGCTTGGTTTCAATGGTGAAATTTGACCAGGATTTGGCTGTAGCACACCACACTGCCTCAACTTGTATTAGAGGAATCTGTGAGAAGCGTGACTGGCTATATATACATATATTAGGCTTCACAGTGGAACATCGGAGTTCTTGGTGAACTCCAGAGCAAGGCTGCCCGGGCTGAAGCACAGCTCTACCAGTTACTAGGTGTGCACTGGTGGAGAACTTCATGTCCCACGACTCCGTGTGGACTAGGGATGATGATAATATAACCTACTCCACTAGGTTGTGGTGAGTAAATCGGATCACTACCAAACCCACACAGCTGGTTTTCTATGTCGGGGCGGGGGGTGGGGGTGGGGTGGGGTGGGCGGAGAAGGTCCTCCATCTACAGATTCAATCAACTTGAGGTTTAAAAAGTATTTTAGAAAATTGCCTGCACTGAGTAGGAATAATTTGGCTTCTTTCTCCTGTCTCATTGGTGTAGTGAAGACTTGGGACACTTCACTGAGTAAAGCGTGAAGACGGTAGGCTCCCTTATCTCACTCTACATTTTAGAAGAAATGTTCTCACTTTGTCCCAACTCACTGGCTATAGGTGATTTCTATTTAGCCTTTCTTATGGTGAAGTATGTTTCTTCTATTCCTAGTTTCTTCAAGGCTTTTATCACGAAAGCATGTGAAAATTCATCAAAGTTCTTTTCGGCATCAACTGAACTAAATATATAATTTCTGTCCTTAAGTCTACTTATGTGCTGTACTAAATTCATTGACCTGCATACGTTAAACCAACCCCTGCATCCTTGGAATGAAACCAACTTGGTCATGGTGTATGATCTTCTTAAAAGTAAATAATATTTTACTTCTTATTTGAGAACTTCATACATTTATACAATGTAGTTTGATCATATTCAACTCACTCCTCTTCTAGCTCCTCTCAGATTCACCCCACCCCTTCTAAATTCCCTATCTTCTATTTTTAAAAAAATAGCTCACTGAGTCCAACTTATGTTGTGGATACACTAATAAGTGTGGGACAAGCGACTGGAATGTGGTTGACCTACCAGAGACCCCGTCCTTAAAGAGAACAGACTCTTCTCCCAAAGCCAACTGTCAGTAGCTCCTTAGCTAGGGGTGGAGACTCACGAGTCCCTCCTCATCACTTGCTTGGATGTTGACTGCCTTGATCTGGTGTGCGCAATCACAGCTGCTGTCGAGTTCATGAGTGCAGTGGTCCTGTCATATCCAGGTGACGTTGCTTGCTTCTGTCTTCCCTGACCTGTCACTCTTAGAGTGTTTCCCCTACTTCCACAACGATCCTGGAGTCTTGGAATGAGGGGGTGTGGTACAGGCGTCCCATTTGTAGCTGAGCATGCCACAGACATTTTCTCTGCACTTTGATTGGTCATGAGTTTCTCTGTTGATCTACTTCACAGAGATACTTCTCTGGTGAGATCTGAGAGCTACACTAAGCTATTGGTTTAGGAATATAAATTTAAGGGGCAGTTTGATATTGTTTCCATTTAGCAAAATAATAGTAATACGTTCACCACTGGGGCCCACTGTGTGATCTTAATGTGTTCTTGAATTTGATTTGCCAGATTAATTGAGAATTTTTTTTGTGTGTCTAGATTAACCAGGGAAAGTGGTCTAAAGACTCAGTTAGAAAACTGGGTCTACAAACACTTTCAACTCAGTAGCAGGATACAAAAGCAATATACACAAAATGAATAGCTTTCCTATGCACCAATAATGAACATGTGCAAAAGAAATCAGAAAAAAAGAAATCCCATTCACAATAGCTTTAAAAAAATAAAATTCCTAGGAATAGAGTTAATCAAAGGAGGTGAAGATCTGTACAATGAAAACTTCAAGATGCTGAAAAATGAAGGTGAAGAAGCCACTACTAGAAATGAAAAGACATTTCATGCTCAATGGTAGGTAGAATGAATATCATGACATGGCTACAGTATCAACAGCAGTTTACACATTTGGTATATAGTCACCAACAAAATCTCATTTACATTCTTCACAGGATTAGCGAAGACAATCCTAATATTCTTATGGAAACACCAAGTACCCTAAGCAGCTAAGACATTCCTTAGCAGAAAGGACAATACTGGAGGTGTTACATCTGATCTCAAATTATATTACAGAGCCATAGTGACAAAATCACCATGGTCCTGGTACAAAAAACATGCAGAGTGATAGATCAGAGGACTCAGAAATAAGGCCACAGAGCTATAACAACCTATTTTTTCAAATTATTTTTATGTGTGTGTTTTGCCTACACATATCCCTGTATCATGTGCATGCTTGGTCCCTTGGAAGCCAGAGGAGGGCAGCAGATCTCCTGGAATAGGAGTTATAGACAGTTGTGAGCCACCATGGGGATGCTGGGAATCAAACCCAAGTCCTCTGACTTTTCTTAACCACTGAGGCAACTTATTTTTTGACAAAACAATTAAAACACATATTTGAGAAAAGAAAACCTATTGAATAAATGGTGCTGGGAAACTGTATTTCCATATATAAAAGAGCGAAAGACCCATCTCAGCCTTCCAAAAAATCAATTCTAAATGGATCAAAAAAAAACATAATGTAAGACCTGGAACTTTGAAGGCTAGAGGTAAACACAGATGGAACAACTCAAGATTTAGACACAGGCGAGGACTTCAAACAGCATAACATGAAATTGAGCTCCAGCACAGCAGAGAAAACAACCACCAGAGTGACAAGAGCTGTGAATCTAAACATTTCCTGATGGGGTCTTCACCAACTACACATCCAAAGGGGACTAGTGTCGCCTAGATAATGAATTGTAAAAACTAGAACCACCCCCCTCCAAGTCAGCCAATCATTAAATGGATTAATAATCTGAATGGGCAGTGTAAGCCCCTCAAGCCACAGGAGTGGCCAGGCCCCTCCCCCAGGACCCCTAACTGCCAGGTTCCCCCCCCCAGAATACTCTAACTGCCCCAACTGACATCCCACCAATCTCCATCCCAGAAAGCTCCACCCTGAGAAGTTCCACTCCCTTCCCAAGAAGCTCTATATAAGCCCTCTACCCTGCTCAGTTTGCTGCTGTTTCTTGCCCGAGCAGAGGCAGCCACCCTCCTGGCTTTTTCCCTCCCAGTAAATCTCTTGTGTGAGGTTTGTTGTGTGGTGTGACTCTGTGGTATTCTTTGGCTCCCGGCTGTCTGGATACCTTTCCATCTAAGCTGTGATGCTTACAGGCAGTCCTGGGAAGAAGAAATGTAAATGGCGAATTGTGTACTTTAAAAAGCATTCAATATCCTTTGTTATCAGGGAAATACAATGAAAACTGCTGTGACATTCCATCTCAGCCCTGTCAGAAAGGCTATCATAAATCAAACAAACCCAACCTAAACCAAACCACACTAACTGACTCCAAATGCTGGTGAGGGTGTGCAAGGAAAGGAACCCTTATTCACTGTTGGTGGGAATGTAAACTGCTGCAGCCATCATGGAAATTGGGGTGGTTCTTCAAGAAAACCGGAAACAGATCCGCCACATGACACAGCTGTACCACTTCGGGGCATATACCGGAAGGGCTCCAAGTCAATGCATCACAGAGACACTTGCACACCTGTGCTTACTGCTGCTCTGTTCACAGTAGCCAGGAAATTGAATCTGCTTTGATATCCATCAGCAGATGAATGAATAAAGAAAGTGTGGCCCATGTACACAATGAAATTTTATGCACTGTAAAGAAAAAAGAAATCATGACATTTTCAGGGAGATAGATGGAGCTGGAAATCATTATGTACAATGAAGTAAGGCAGACTCAGAGGACAAGACTGTTCAATCTTTTTTTTTTTTTTGAGACAGGGTTTCTCTGTGTTGTTTTGGTGCCTGTCCTGGATCTCACTCTGTAGACCAGGCTAGCCTCGAAAACACACACAGAGATCTGCCTCGCTCTGCTCCCTGAGTGCTGGGGTTAAAGGCGTGTGCCACCACAGCCTGGCTAAGCATGTTCAATCTTATATGCAGTACCTAGGTTTAAAATTCCATGCGTGTTTGCCTTTACAGCTATGTGTGTAAATCACCAAACTAGAAGGGGGTCATTGGAGGGGAGCAAGAGGTCTAGGTGGGGATGGTAATGAGTACATGTGTCCTGAGGCAGAAGGAACCCTTTATGGAGGAATGTAGGGAACGAGCCAGAGTCAGGCAGGACACATGGGAAGGCAATGGTGGAGAGGAATAAGAGAAAGCAAAAATATAATGACATGTATGTATGAAAAATGCCATAATGAAATCTATCGCTTTACATGCTCACCTGAAATTTTTATTTTAAAATGTGCTGGGGAGAGAGCTCAGTCTGTAAAGCGCCGAGTAAGTGGGATGACCTGTGTTTGACCCTCAGACCCATGCAAAGAGCCAAGGCATGGGGGTACGAGCCTGTAATCCCAGCACAGGGGAGGCAGGGGCAGGAGGATGCCAGGGCTCATTAGCCAGGCAGCAGAGTTAATTTACCAGCTTTTGGTCTCAGTGAGAGACTCTGTCTCCAAAAACAAAGTGGGCAGTTCCTGGGGAAACATGTGAGATTGACCACTGATCTCTAAATACACACTCTGCACCCACACAGGCATGAACGAACACACACACACACACACACACACACACACACACACACACACACTCAGTCTTAGTGGTTTATGACCACGGGTAGCTCTTATAAAGGAAAGTATTTAATTGCGGCTGGCTTACAGTTTTCAGAGGTTTAGTCTATTGTCATCATGGCGGGCAGCATGGCAGCATGCAGGCAGACATGGTGCTGGAGAGGTAGCTGAGAGTTCTACATCAGAGTCCGTAGGCAGGAGGAGGAGAGAGACACTGGGCCTGGCTTGGGTCCTTGAAACCTCAAAGCCCGCCTCCCGTGACACTCCTCCTCCAACAAGATCACACCTACTCCAACAAAGCCACACCTCCTAATC